AGCCTTAAACCACACACTTAGTAACGTTAAAATTTAGTAGACAACGCGCAATCCAGCTGTTGAGTAGTTTGAGATGCACCTGAAATAGATGTATATCGGGTCAGACCTGATGGCTGTCCAGAGGTTTTTATTATCAGCAAGCATGATAGCGCCTAGGTCGTCGACACAGTCGCTGATATAGATAAGGAAGAGCAGTGGCCCCAAGACAGAGCCTTAGAGAATGCCACTTAGAATAGGAGAGAGGATTAACTTCGAGGCACAGATGCCCACAGTGTACGATGACCTTGTGAGAAAATCTGCTATCCATGTCAGCAAGTTTTCTTTATATTCACATTTCGGATAACGTATACCTCAGACGTTTATGTCGGACGTTATCAAACACCTTTAAATCAGTATAAACGACACCAGCTCTACTATCTACATGCAGTACACGAATCTACTGATTGGTCGAGAGTAATCGGCTGGAAAGACAAGAGTGGTTCTGTCTAAAGCCGTTTAGAACAGCACTGTTGACATTGTGAAACCGAGTCATAGTTTCCCTAATGAATACCAAGGCAAAGCATCCGCAGCAGTTCTCGTTTTCCAGCTATTTTCATCGATTTCTAGCACATTATAATACTTTAGTACTGCGACAGGGTGCGTGTTTTTCAGTTGACTATAAAAGTAGCGGAATAAATTTTGGGTATATTTTCGGCCTTTTAAAGGATTCTTGATGCATATTTGCCTGATGGACCGATTCTTTTCCGCATGTCGTTGCCGACTGAATTCACCAAGGTGTACTGGTACCCCAGTTTCCCCGAATAACTTTTATTTCTTATGTTTCTTCTTTAACGCATATTTAAGGTCTCTTTAAAGTTAAGAATTTATATTTGTTACCGCCAGGAAGACATTACCCAAAACAATCTTTGTATCGGAATAAAATTATGACCACATTCGCGGATAAAATGTACAAATTCATAAAAATGCAATGAAAAATGGTCCTTTTAGGCAGAAATTAGTGAGGATTTGAGATAAACTGTGAACTACGAAATCAACAGCGAAACAACTCCTACACCGAAGATTGCGGTAGCGTCCAACGGGCCTCTATTTTCAAAAAGAGTGTATGAGGAAAACAAACTGCTTAGGGAAATAAGATAAACGGGTAGAGTAGGCTACTACTACTACTACTACTACTACTACTACTACTACTACTACTACTATTCCTTCTACTATAGTGGTGCAGAATGAGGCAATGAAACGAATACATAGTTCGCTCGTGATCGCAAATGTGTATGAAGTCTCACGAAAAAGCAGCACTTGACGTGGGCCCTCGACATCTCAGGAGCCAGAATAGAATTATGGTGATGTTTTGTAGCCAGTGAAACTGGAGCAGTTTGGACTGGTTATGTCCGCGTCACCTCCAATTTTTTGAATGACGGGTGATTTAAGACATTTTAGTTCCTGGGGGGCGCGAGACAGAGAAAAATATTTTCAAGAAGGTCTCCCAAATTCCTGATGGTCCTATTTCGGAGTCACGCTGCTCGGGAAAGATGAGGAATATAAAAGGTTAATAGAATCACTATTACGATAAATGTGCAGTACTCGTTTGAACGCAGACAGACTAGTTAACGACCTAATTTTAATTGGCAAGTTATTCCAAGTAAAGCTTTATCTTGAAGAATTAGACAAAGAGCGTTCAAATGTGGAGGGTGCAAGAGGAGGGTCGCAGGGGGAGTGCGAAATATCTTAAGTTGTAAGGACGACCGATAGGGGTATGGACAGAAAGCTTGGGGAAGTTCGAACTATTATAAGGGTGAAAATGCAGAAAAAAGCCTGCTTTCATTATCCTGACCAAAAGAAATTTCAGTTTTGTAAGCTGGCATTTACGTGAGTACGCTGTGTTTGAAAGTATCAAATAAATGAGTTTTTTTTGTCAAAGGTCTTTGGATATTTTCAATTTTCGAAAAGCTATGTTCGTTCACTGGACCGAAGAATGGGTGGCATTAGTTTAGAATGGGAAGCATAAAAATAAAATAAAGTCTTAATTTACTTTCAGGAAGGTAGAAATTATAAGAAATAAAGCCACATAGCTGGCCGTTATTCTATCGGCTTGAGGCAAAACTGAAAAATAAAATTACCGAAGAGGCCAGACAAGATAAAAATTATCTCAATTGATCTACTAACCACTGCAAACAATTTTTTGTTTGAAAATAAGTAGGTTTCCGAAATTTTAATTGTAGTTCTAGGTTCGTGTTATAAATGATTTGTTTTTATGTGAATCTTCAAGAACTTGGATGAAGCCTGAGAGAGTACAAAACTGTATTTTTTTCACAAATAGCTAAAACAACAACCACAGGTAGGTGCAGTTACTTTAGAGTTAGACATACAACTAATTATCAACAACTAAACTAATTGCAACAGGAAACGAATAAATCTGTTAAAATTGGAGATTTCACTCAGCTTTCGAAATTAAAACTGCGTGCCTTGAGCTTGACTGTACTAGAGTTTCCTGGAAGCCAGACAGGGCGACTAGTTGTCATGTGTACCTTCACCGAACAACAGCAGTTAATTATATCTAATGAAATACCTTTGAGCGATCTCCAGTCGTCTTCTGGATTCTCCTTTAGCAGGCACTCCCAATTCACGGACGGCAGTGCATTCTTCATCAATTAAAATTAACCTTCCATATATTGGGTTTGCCTTCGGTTCTCCTCGGACATTGATAATTGAGTGAGCACGCCCACCTTAGCGTCCTAAGGTCACTCTTTTCATGCAGAGCACTAGAATGCATTTTAAAGAAGTAGAGGAAATCGTGCGTAAAAAGGAGATCCAAACAAATAGCTCTCTGGTTCCCTCTAAAATATATCGCTCTAAGAAGACATAATCGGTTTTTATAAATTACTGGTCAGAATAAGGCATCACACGATGATTTAATACATGCAGTTCGAATCACTTGTAGTCGCATTTTCTAATGCCTTAAGAGTTACAATTAACATATCGTGCATGAGACAGCCGCCCAAAATATCAAATAAGCCATTAAGTGAGGAACTAAAGAAGCACGGACATGGTACAGTCTGACAATGTGGGGCAGTGTATTTCTTCGACGGATAAGGAAATGGATTTGAGGTGCACCCGTACTAACAACGATAATTGTCCGTACAATAGGCCACGTGTTGTAAAGTAGGAGTAAACTGTTCCTACATATGAAAAAAAGTATGATTGCGAAGACAGTTGCAGACTGCAAAAACACCTTGACTTCAAAACGGCCCACACACTTCTGAAGTTGCCTGTTTAATGAATGCCCCTGGCGTCGAAGTTGTGCGTACGCAAGGCTCTTGACACACGCCGCGGTAAAACACGACAACCCAGCCAATCTAATGGATCGTTTTAAGTCTAAGACTTAACCACTTCGAGAGTCGATTGCTCCCCTATACAAACCAGACTTATCTCTGATACCTGGTTTTCCCTATACTGAAAATGTGAATGTATGCCTCAACATGTATATTAGACCCAGTCTTGAATACTGCTCTCCCCTATTTAGCCTTCTGCACGCTAGTGAACGGAAGAAAATAGAATCGATCCAGCACTTCTTCACTTAAAGAGGTTTCTCTTCAAAACAGCGTTACTTATCCTACCAACAACGTTGAGAATTTATTAATCTCGATCCCTTGTGGTTTTGCAATATACAGAAAAGACTATTTTCACTGTTTAAACTTTTAAATGGCCGTACTTTAATCGCCTCAGTAACATAAGGCAGCTCGATGATTCTCGGCGCGCCAGTCATCGAGATGTTTTTTTATTTCTTCCTCTGGCACGCACAGTTAGATACCGTAATTTATTTCATTAAACGCCATAGCAATCTTGAATAAGCTGCCCAGACGTATTAAAACA